CGCGTTCGTCATATTTTGGAACTACTCTGCTAGTGATTTCTAAAAATATAGGTATAGATTTCACTAGATGAATTAGGATAGCATGTTCGGGCGAGCACAATATACTAGCTATTGCTAGACGGAGACGAAAAAAAAACTTCAATTTAATACTGTTGGATGACGAAACAACTGCTGGCAGGCAGATTACACCGGGTGCAACACAGCAGCCTTGCTATATTAAAGCGCCGAAACACCGACTACTCGTCATCGACTCATCGCGCCCGAGGGCCGAGACTCGACACTCGAGTTAGTTCTCTCACAGCATCCGTGTGGTGTGTAGTGCGCGCTCTGACCTCTCTGCTTTTATCTGTCTTCTGTTGCAAAATGACAAATGCCTAAGCGACGTGATACGATTGTTGTCTATTCTTGATTCAAGACTAGTCATTTTCTTCGTAGCTGCACCGTCTAAAGAAGTTATACTATTTTCTTATATTAGAGAGGTTTTCGAAATGTGTCAGATCAAGGGAATCGATGTACGCTGCACCTGCGGGTATGTATTCCTTCGTTTGTCTTTAGTTACTTATCTCTAAATGGGTTTTCCTTAACGCTGTGCTTCAATATATTTTTTCTTTCCTTTGAATAAATATTCTACTTAGATGCTTTTTCAAACAAAATCGATACGTCTGACTAAAGGTCAATAGGCACATCGAGGCTCGGCTAGTCGAAAGCCGCCGTCCGACTGTGCAACCAGCACAGCAACACTGAAACGGCTCCCGTCTTCTATGTTATAAATCTGCGTAGCTAGTTACGTTCGTTTTCTGCCTTCGAATTTGTATGATGTATTTTTTATTTGATTGTCATTAACCTGTGCCTGGGTTCCACATTTTTCATATCTAGTGGCATTGGCACAATGACACGCGTGTTATTTCTAATTCTATCCACCCATAATTACTGCTAGATAAATTTTTCACTAATACGTGCATTTTTTGAGGAAGCGCATCAAATGAAGAATATTTTGGTTAGCGATTTACTCGAAACCCTCAAACAGGCTGGCACAGCGACAGTTTTTTCGAGAGCTTGCAGGGCAGAGGCGCAGAGCAAGCTCATCACCGCAGCAACGACCTTGCCTTCATTCTCTTGTGTGGCACTTCGTCGCGATCGATGAAACTCAGCTTCTTTTAGGAACCGACGCATTAGCAAACGATTGATTCTTCTCTTGCCCTTGAACCTCATTATATCATAATCGTGTAACAAATCATATTTAATCTTCTGTCATATAATTGTTCTATCATATTTCATCGCGTTTTGACGTACTGCTCATAGCTCCTGAGCTTTCGTCGCCTACTCACGACTCTTCAGTGGAGCCTCACTGCAGCGAGCGCCGAGCAGTGCAATTGCGCAATAATAAATTATGAACTCTTGAAATTCGTATATTGCATGTTGGCTATTAACGTTCGACATAGTTTCTTTTTTTTAAGTACTTCTTTTTGGGATGTCGTCTAGTTATATCTCATTTTCACCAAGTATGCCCTGTCCTCATAAATATTGGAGTTCGCCATTTTACTGAATCTTAACCATGTTACTTCTTTCACCTTTGCTCGTTTCGCTGTTTTATGGTATACGTGTATTGTATTCTCAAGCGATAGTCATCGTATTATTTTAAGGTCAAACGAACTAGGAGAAGAAAGTTAAATTATTATTTGATACAGGAAGCCGTTCTGTAGTACAATTTTTTTATGGTTCACAAGATAGTTAATCGTGAAGCGATAAGAGATCCCGCCGGTGGCCGTGGAGTGCAATTGCGCAGTTAGTGTGGCTGCGGGGAAAGTGCCAAGTGTGTTGTGCCTTCGCCAGTTCTTGCTGCGCTCTTACTCATTGTTTTTATATTGGAGGTCATACTAAAGCGGTGTTATGTTGCTGCTCCGTGCAATTTATATGCTTCTAGTAAAACAAAGGATGTTGATAGTACAGAGAGCAGCTCCTCGTAAAGGATATTGATAGTACACAATCATGTTCATGTGCCAAAAGGCGATTGTTAGATGTACATGGTATTTCTGCAGTTAGCGGCCAGGTGAATCACATCCATATTACCTTACATTTGGGAAGTAACGTGGCGAATTTAGATCGTAAAACGGTCTTTTATGTACATAATATCTATTTTGCATTTGTTTTTCTAAAACTATAAGCTACAGTGCATTGTCTCTAACTGCACAAACGTTTCTCTTCCCGTTTTAAGATGATATTTAATAGTATGTTATGATTCTAGAGCTGTATGCTACATGCTATATTGGAGCTATATGCTTTTGGCATAGCAAGTTATTGCGAAAATTATGCCAGAACCGTCTAAATCGAGAATACTTGAAGGTTGCTTCACTTAGTGTCAAATATGCGGATGAAGTTTCCATGAGTGGTTATGGCTTGAGCTTGAACATCATGAAATGTTTCACCGGTTTAAATTGTACGTAGAAATCCTGACTTCGTTCGTTACACTTGACCGTAGTGTTGTTACTGTTTAGTGTATCAACAATAATTAGTGTGTACTGCAAGAGCATAGAGTTGTGCAGCTGTCAGGGCTTTACTGCTCGCGAAGGGCGTCCAGTTTTTGTATCGCTCTTGAAAAAACTCATAGGCGTATTATACCGCGCTTGCTTATGTTGTGCCTTCTTTGCGTCAATGTTTCTAATCGTTCAACTCGATTCTTCATCCAGTGGCTATTTATTTATAGCTTTTATTACAGAGCAGAAATTTTTCTGCGTATCGTTAATTTTCTTGCCCATTAACCGCTATTCTGTTCTATATTATATAGAATGAACAGTTTTTTTGGTGTTGATGCTACTGCTTTAAAATGCATTAAAATCGCGTCATACTTTAACTTCCAATTATTGCTTACTTGATTTGGCATCTACTTGCCATGTTTTGAATGTTAGACAGTATTATTCGCGCGACAGATCCGAGAGTGCCTTGGTAGAGTGAGCTGTTCTTGGCAGGCGACCAACGCCCCTTTAGTTCTGGACGGTTGCCATGGTTAGTGGTAGCTTATATCCACGTTTTGAACAAGCGGCGCTAAGTTAATTAAGGTTAACGGAGCCACGAACTGCAAGCCAGAGAGAATTAATCTTACCGCTGCTCAATGCATAGTTCAATTGTAGTGTCTGTCCCTGTGCCGTATTCAGTGACCAGTGTTCTTGTCCCGGCGAGTTCTCTCTCAGTTCTGCATTTACTATCAACTCCCAGACGAAGAATTATTTCCAGCTTCTGTCTTTCAAAAAAAAAAAGTACTGCCTAGTATTTGAGCCGTCAGGAAGCGCTAAGCTGCTGTGTGTCGAACATAATTCTACAAGTCTTGCAAGTACAAATTAGTGTCCGTTACAACTATCAATTCCCTTTTTTGAGAATTTTACAGTTTTAATAAAACTGTTCATTTGCTGCCTCTATTTACTCCGCATTCGATATTTTTTATCTGTGAAGCGTATCCAATGCCATCAGCGTGCCGCTGTGTGTAAACACTGCTGTTGCTTGTTTTGCTGCCTATACGTTAAATTTCTTCTACGGGCAAGTTGGTTTCTTTTAAGTTTCGTTTAATTTACAGGAAAATTTGTTCATCAACTTCAGATGAGTTTTGTGACGCAATTGATTATATGAGAACATATGTGTGGTGACATACGATTGCTGGTAGTAAACCATTGAATGTAAGAAGAAATAGATAGGACTATTAGATTGGGAAAAAGATTTTGATGAATTATTGAATAAGTAATACCTAACTATCAACCTATAGTCTAAGTAAAATGCTTGCATCTGTGCCTTATAATGGCTGGAGTACTATGCCTGATGATGTTGGTCTTCTCTGCATGTAATCACGGGTAGAGTAAATAAGCAAATTTTTGTGTTCTAGACATGCTCTTACATTAAATTATATCGACTCGTTTGCTAATTTTGACGGATTTCTGAGCGACTTCAATATTTCATTCATCAGTGTATGATGATAATGGATAATTTTTTACGTTGCTCTTGTCTAGTGTATTAATCTAGTAATGTTTTATCGCCCGTGGCGGAGTCTGCTCCTTATACCTCTGGTTTGCCTTGCTTCAAATCTGCGTTTTTCTGGCTGCCCTCTAACGTTCCCATATCTGATGGACTATTAGTTGCCTCGTTCGTAAATATCATTTTTAAAATTGTGAGGAGATCTGTGTTCTACATTGATGTTTTGCTGCCCGCTACTTGGTTAAACGCACTTTCATGGCGTTGGCATTTGAGTAGGTGTAAACACCAATCATTGAGTCATGCTGGCTCGCTGTCCTCATTCCATAGCTATATTTTTTGTCGTAGTTGGCACTTAGGCTGAGGAAATTAAGTTGATCTTCAGCACTTATTACTTATTTTTAGATGCACACCTTGAAAGATCTAGCGATATTCTGAGTTGTATCCCTAATAAGTCTCTCAAATGATTCATGTATATGTTAACCAAAAAACGAAATTTTTACGTTTTTCTTTTTCGTCAGGGAAACCGAGATAACATTGTTACAACCAGTTAGTAACTATAAGCGGGGCATCTAATTTTTTTTTTTTGTATATCGTTGAAATTCTTCGCTACTCGTTGTATCGACACAAGTGATGTTACACTTCCGGCCTTTGCAATCAAATCGGTTGAATTTATTTCCACTTGGTGCGTTATCATACCATAAATGCTATTCTACATGAAGGACATTCTCAGTCACTTAGAAGTATTTTCAAGCCGCTGATAATGATAACTATAAAACTGCGCCCTTGAGCTGTGCATAGTTTTTCATGCTGCCAAGGCTAACCATTTCTTCAGCAATCACACTCCCGATAACGTTGTGCGGCCTTGAGATTTATTTCGTTTTGCGTTCATTAGACTTTAGTCAACGTAATTTATTCTTATGTTTACTTGTGATTTTTTTTAATATTTGAATGTGCCCGAATTGAATAAATTGAAGCACATGTATTATGTTGTAAGCGACTTCCGTGAGTTGTGAAGAACTGCTAAGTGTGTTGTCATGCAGGAGTCATGGGGTGGAGCCTGACATCTCGTCTCTTCGTTCTTTTCGAGAAACTCAGACCTCCTCACCTGCTAAGAAATGTAAAACTCGCGCTACTGCTCGACTCGATACTGAAGTAGTTGTGATCGAACCCACTTGGCATCAACCAGTTGCCGCTGATTCCTCGTGTTACAATCTTGACGATTCTGGTTCGACGACTTTAGAACCCGTTCCTCCGGAGTCCAGTTGCCGTTTGGTTTCTCGCGATGATTCCTCTGGGAACGGATCAGTTGGCGCTCCGCCTGCTCCAGCGTCCGCGAGCCTGACGACTGCGACCGTCGTGACAGCGTCCAGTGTCGCTGCTGTTCATCACGGCTCACGACAAGGCAAGCGCAAAGAGCACGTCGACGAAGGTCTTTGCGAAGAACATGAAGCCAAAGTTATCAGGTAACAACAGCACCCGGTCCCTGCATGTGTCGCGGTGTATCACATCACCTTCTCGAGCTTGTCTTTGTAGAGAACTGATTTTGTTCTGTCATGTAGGACACTGGCTTCGTATTTCATATTTGATGAACAGCGCCCGTTTTGTAGGATACGTATTCATTTTGCAAGGCGCATCATGAGTTGCTCTGTGTTTTCGGTGTAGCACTCACGTGTGTTGCATGCTATTGTCGCACTACGCTGTAATATGATTTGCGCTCATTCATAATCATCAAGCGAAATATTGTCATTATCCAGTCAGAATTATATTGTCTCGTTATTCAATGTCAAATTTGATATGCTATGTTCACTGTTGTGAGTATTTTTATTGATATGATTTTGAAGCACATGGATTTAAAGTTGTAATTTTTGTACGATTGTGATATGCATGTTATAATGTCTTTCATTATTTTGGTTCAGTAATTAAGTGTTTTATTTCATGTTAGAAAACTCGTAGAAAATTTAACCTGTTGTTGTATAACCCATTTGCTATTTAGCGTTGTATTGTGAGCTGGGAACCCAATATGAGCAAGCTGAGGAAAGAAGAAAAATACGATACCCTGAGTGTTGGAGCAATCATCGCAACCAATATGGCGCAAATCTTATGAAACTTCTGAAACATTCCCTATTCGATTAAGGAACGCAGTCAACTTTAACTTGGAGAATTCATGTACCCTTACCTAACACGACACAAACTTACCAAACTAGCTTAACTGTGAGGCCAAATTCTATAAAAGGTTGTCGCCGGTGACTTCCACCAAAATCAACTTCATTGAGGTCATCGTACTGCTTCCAGCTAAAGAATCAGAAAACTTTGTAATCGGGAACTCATTGTACTGTTATCATTAAATTAAGCGGTTAGCCCCGTCGCACGTATTAGCCTCCACGGTACTGCCATCCTCCCCTCCCATTAAAAATTACATCAATCAAAACCCGTCTTTCTCTCGAAAACTCTTCACATTTTGAAAGCCCAGTTTCTCCCAACTCTGCTACGGTACCATTACACACAATCATACACTGGCAGCTCTTTCAGTTCTGGATTAGATAGCTCTGGCAGTATAATACCTACAGGTTTGTATGGACCTAGTAGCCAATTTGATATACATTAATGCAGTAAGTTATCCTCACGGCAATTTTTATACTGTAGCCATGTAAAGAAACTGCTATTGAATTCGTGAGAGTAAAACCTTGTATAATGTCATTCACATTTTGATTTTCTTATTATAAAACCTAGAATATGACGAGTATCCAATTTTCTTAGTGTCTCTTTATAAACGTTTTAACAGCTATTATACTGAATATAATGTCCCCGCTAAATAACCAATCAAAAATTAATAAAAAAAAACCGTTGCTACCCAACCTTATGTTGGGTGCTGAATGCGTTATTAAAAACATCGGTATCACTGAATTTTCTGGTTATCTCAACAATTTATATGGTGCTATCGTTATCAGTTACGAGAATCAGTGACCGCAGTGTATTTTTCAGTCATCATCAGAGCCGTGGCCTGCTAAATTTTTGTTCCTTACTGGCCATCTTCATATGAAATCATTCGTGTGACACGGTCCACGAGTGATAACTGTCGGACCCGCTTTGCAAACAGAGGATGCTTTTTGGACATTTATGTTGTTCTCGCTTGTTTCAAGAAGTATCCTCACTATTTTTTATCATTTTTTTATAGTCTTGAACAAAATTTGCTGAACACATGAATTAAAATACGAGTACTACATATTATCCTATTTTTTTCGTAAAAGTATCATTTCATTGTGTTTCTAGAGGATTTATTCCATTTTCTACCAGTGACTCTCCTTTTATAACAATACTTGTGTCATTCACAGGTCCACCGGCTCGTCCGACCACGCCCTCTTGTCTCTGCCGTTTTCGGTGAGTATATAGTGTTCACTAAACGCGTTCATCGTTTAGGACGTCACGTTAAATTTGATATTGTCATCAAAATTTATAGGCTTTAAGGTAGCCGTCTGTCGATAAATGATTTTCAATCAAGGTGATTTTTTTTAAATGTTCAGGTGATGAATGTATTGAAACGCATTCCTGACTATTAAGGAAATTTGAACTACAAAAATCATTCATCACGCTGCAAAAACAAGGAAGATGATTTTCATGTCTGAAACTAGCCGATAAATTGAACTCAAATTCATCTTTATCTCGCATTACTCGTTTATTTGCAATACTGTTATCCACGTGATTGTCGGCCACGGGTTCACAAGATATCTTCATCATCAGTTGAGGTTCTGAAATCTTACTGTTGAACTGGTGCCGCACTTGTATGAACAACGACGTGGTCATACTCTGAGTTAAATTTTATTTTTTTTATCACTTGAAAAAAGTGCTTTAGCCCCACTACACATGCCCAATCCAATATAAAGTACAACTTGCATTCTACCCTAAGTTCCTTACCCATATTAATGCTTGATTGCGCAGTCGCCTTGCTTTTCTCCTCCCCTAGTCAAGTTGCTTGATCATAATTGATAACACCAGCTGCACCGCCTTAGGGTGCAACGAGTCTATGGTTTAATTAAATCTTGGCTGGCACACCAAATATATTGCAAGGCTCGACCTCGCCTACTGGATGTCGAGGCAGAGCTCGGTTTTTATGCAGTCGTGACTTAGGTTAAACTTGAAGGGATTAATTTTCTGCCTGCGAAAATGAAATGCAAAGTTTCTCATTCAAATCGTTTCTTTCTTTTTACACCAATACGCGATTTTTATTGACAAGCTGATTGAACGCTACAGTGGAAACTGCATTGACCAGGCAATAAGTCCAGGAGCTATCTCAATCAATCGTCAGTTATTGAAAGATCGGGTTCCAAAGGCCGGATCCCTTGTGAATCAAGTCAAGAAAAAGTACAAGAATCGGCAACAGGCCATGGGGCTATTTCTTCAGTGCCAACACTTCTGTTCTATTCTATTAATGAAGTCCTTCAATATTTAAAATGTGTTTTTAACCACTGTTGGAATTGTTTGATGTACGGTTAAGGTTGATAGTGAGAGAGTTTGCGTTATAGTATAATGCAATGATGCAGCCAAGGCCGCGTCATGGGTATACGAAATGTGGCTGCGATGTATACCTACGCAACGCTCCTTGTCACTTGGTCGCGATAACTGTCAGGAGCCTTTTCCGGGGGTTGTTTTCTGGCGGCCTTGGCAACTCCCGCGCACTGCTGCTGTGTTATTAGTTTCCAGTTCTCTGCTTGACGTCAACAAAGTTGATGCGAGAACGTGCCCGTTCGTAACATGACTTATACTACTGAATACGGTGCTTTGCTTTGGGCCGCGTCTATTGTTGGTTTCGTACGTTGATTGGATCACTTTAGTTGCCGTAGATGATCTGAGGGTTAGCTTAAATGTGAATGTTTTAGTCTCTTCGAATGTTAAAACTTGTTTACAGCTGCAAATAAATTTGTATTTCATCTAATGTTCTGTATAGTGGCATGCATGAACACTCCACGTCCTACCTGAAATGTTCCGATTTTTTTCATTCATTTCAAATTGAAGAAATTTGTTATTTATCTTTCCATGATTTATTATTGGTGCTAAATGTCATTTTAATTGTTAGCCTGTATTTCCGGCGCTTGAATCTCTGCTACTCAGGCGCTCTAATACCTATGTATTGCATCAATGCGAATCTTTTCTCCTCATTTGAAACTATTTTTAGTGAGCCTTTTTTCAAATAAGTCGTCACTATAAGTCATTCATTTTTATCGCACATGAAATCATTATCTGACTTCGATTATAATGCTCAAAATAACAGTTGTTTTATCCATTGAATGTTACATCTTGATGTACGGATCAATAAGCTCATTTAATCTTTTTTTTTGTCTCGGGTGACAAAGAAATTGGTTTTGCCTTGCCATAGGGTCTCATTACTCAACTTTCCTTCCATCCGGTTTGTTAACAAAATTAATTAGTCGGTGGCTTATTCTCACACTCTACTTCATATTTCTTTGCTTGGGATAACACATTAGCGGGCATATCTGCCTATAAAGTAAATTGCTAAAACCATAGCGCCGTATATCCAATGTCAACGCTTAAAAGCATGCTCAAGTGAAGCGTGGTCATACTGCATTTGGCCTTAACTACTCCGGGCTAATTTTGCATGGCTTAACCTATTCTTATTGAATACAGGCAGTTACAGAAAGTGGGTGAGTGAACAGGTAGAGTATGTCGTTTGTTACTAAGAAGGTTGTGAGTCTTGCTAGCGTGAATGGGTTTGGCCAGATAGAAGCTAGGCCGGGTGCCGAACTACCTGCGTATGAGCTAACACGCAGAAGTATTGGCTGAAGACTTACTGTGCTGTTATCTGTAAGCGTTGTGTTAATGGTCTGCATTACGTTGTTTCTATGCAGTCTGATGCTGAATGTGTCTATTGCATGCTGATGCCGGGTGTTGGCTCCGGTGCTTCTTTAATTAAGCGTTGAATTTGTGGCCCACAGCTGCGCTCTCCCAATGCGGCTGTGACTTATTATTATGCAATTCCGTCATTTTCTAAAGTGTCTTGAGAACTTGCACTGGTTTCATGGCGCGTATTATTATATTGTGGGGCTTCCGAGCCTTCTCGTGCGGGGCTCGTGCACGGTAAGCGCTATGCACAGAGTTGCCCTGTCGGTTTCTCTGGTTTTTGTGTTCCAGTTTCTAGTTTTTTTTTTTTGCTCGCGCATTATAGAATAGAATAGAAGTGTCGGCACTGAAGAAATAGGCCCATGGCAGATGATTCGCGTAAATTAAAACATGTTTTTTTTTAATTTATAGTACATGAGTTCTGATGAATTTCCTTCCAAAGTAACTAATTGAGAAATTTCCTGATTCTAGTGCGATGCGCCCCCCGTAGCGACCAACTGGGACAAGTTGATCCCGTCGCCAGCTGACGAATCCGCCAGCGAAGCTGGTGTTGAGGTAAGAAAAATTCTATATCAATTCATTCTTAGATTATTATTTCATAATTAGTCATGATTATACCTAGCTGGTGCTCTTTCCAAATTTATTCGCCATTGAAAATTGAAAATGCAAATTGCCCACAACTTTTCCCCCAATATCAATCTAATATCAACTAAGGTGTTTGCACGGCAGTTTATTGTATATTCACGGTCGCCGTTGTGTCTCGTCATTGCCCTTGTTTACGTTGTTTGCATTAAAATTTTGAACATTGCCTGACTGCGAATATTTTGCCGTACGCAGGAGAGCGACAGCAGTGTCCTGAACCAACCATGTGGTCAGTGGAATGACTTCGCGTCTGTCGGTGAGGTGTATCTGGGGGATAGCCAGGACGCTCCTGTACAGGACAGTGGGGAACCTTGGATTACGGATGCCGATGTGGCCAGAACGCGTCGCTGGTCGGAGAGATTCTACCCCGTCCGATCCTCCGCCACCGAATACCAGTCCCCGGAACGCCGACACCCTCACAAGTCCAAGAAAAGGAAGAGCAAGTCTCGCCGCCATTCTAAGGTGTGATTCTAGCTTCATCTTAAAATCAAGAGCATTTGACCCCCCTGAGTATTTATTGATAAGTTTAGCTCGGATTGCTCGAACTAGTTTGCGTTTGCGATTTGTCTTCAATGTGCATTTCAACAAAACCGGTGTTTACGCGTTCAAGCTAATTTTTCTCGCCCTCACTTCGTTCGTTTTTGTACTCGCGCCTTTTACACTGCGGTGAATGCAGCGAGGCTGCCAAGATGCGCACTCTCTTTTGACCTCACCACAATGAGTAGGGTAGCCATGCATCATCTGTTACCCTGCTGATGAGAATCTCTATAAACTTAGTATCAAATCCTAAAATCTGGATCAATTTACCTCGAAGTAAATAAAACAATATTTTACTGTACTATTAACCGAGATGAATAACAGAAAACTCTTTATTCATTTGTTTCAAGCACGATTTTTGGAGGATCTAGGTGCTCTGCTTTTACAAAATGCGTTATACCATAATTGATCATCATTGTCAATTGTGTTGATAGGCACCCAGTGCTCTCTTTTCACTAATGGTTTTCCACCCCAAATGATCGCCACTAAAAAATACACAAGCTTCGTGGTCAATGCGTCCTTGGATTATTTCAGTAATGAGTTAGAAGGCCAATGTTTTAATCGGTATTGTGTCGTGTATCAGGACTCGAATAGGAATAGCGATATCGCAGCCAAGTGCGCGAGGCCGGCATTTGAGAGGTCAGCTGACTTGGCTGTCAAGTTAAAAAACATTGCGAGACTTCTGGTTATAATTACTAAAAGAGTTGATTAAATTTTCCGACATTTGAGAAGCTCGTACTTACTCGCTTTGTGAGTGCAACGATATTTTATTTGTGCTAATTTTCGGAAATTTTTCGCAAGAATTAATAACATTTGACTTCTCTGGTCTTGCATATGAAGTTAAGAGCAATGAGATTTCAAGAGAGATTTCTAAAAGTCATCCGGTTCTCACAGGAAAGTTGCTCGCTCTTAAGTTATTCGTTAGCACGGCTGGCTCGTACAAATTTATTAGTGGCCGTCAACTCCATTAATCATTCGCTTGATAGAGTTTTCAAAATTGCAGGGAGCTGAGCCGACTATCATGAATAAATAAAATTGTCCATTTAATCCCCTGCTTGATATGATGCGATGCAATCCTTTGCCCACTGGCAGTCCTGGTTGGTATTCCTTTTTGAGTGGGGGATAAATAATTTATTCTCTTCCAATAGATATAAAGCTGTCAGCAAAGATAGAACATATATAAATATTATTCATTAAATTCCATGCACACTTGATGCGTTTATATATCGTATGCTATTGGCTTATTGACAAATATAAAATGTTTTGATCAACTTTCTACATGCACGCTGCTTTCGTAAGCGCGTCAATATCTAAAACATAACACCATAGCATCCTTGGCCTAGCCTGCTTCAAAATTGTAATTTGGACACTTATATGCATGTTTGCCTCTAATTCGACGTCGGTGAATCTTCATTGCAATGCTGCCCACTAATCTCTAGGCTTAACTTTATTATGCAATACAATAACCAGTGTTAGCCAGTATTGGTCACTGTACTTACTCATTCAGACAAGGATCTGTGTTTTGGCACGTGTGCCGGATTCCGAAGTTTGCGTCGTGTAGAGTGGCACGCGTGTTGGCAGCTGATGAGGGCCGTGGCCTCCCTGACCATTGTTTGGGAACATCGGGAGTCTCTTCCTATCAATGTCCTTAGTAGCTTATAAGTCGCCGTTCTGTGATACCGCAATTCCTGCTTGCAGTGAAGTTCATAGCTGTAATGTTTGTGCTATCAAATTAAGGAAATAAATTGTTGATAGTAACCCTGATAGTTATATTGGTATAGTACTTGCAGCAAACCGTACCGTAAAGTGAACGGACTGTAATAGTGATATTTATGAATATTAGTTGAATTTTTGCCATCACTGCTGTTATATCCGAGAACACTCCGAACTGTCTGCACTTCATTTAGGAGTTGGAATGTTTTTGGAAGTTCAAGCAGTTTGGACTATGCACAGTCGACTGTGGGAGGCAAACCAACCTGATTGTGTACGCATAAAAGATTAATTTTTTTTCATTCAATTGCAATAACTAGGAACTATATTCAAACATTCATATCAACTGCTTGAGCGAATTTCTATATTCAACATATTCACTTCAACATTCAACAACTGCTATATTCAATTCATATCAACAACGTAATTGATCGCAAATTTTTGGAGTTCTGTACGCTGAGAAAAAAATTGGGATTTCTTACTTGCTGAATTTTTTCAAGTGTGAGACGAGTGCGATTATATTTATAGCGGCGCTCTGAAGTGTGGCTATTTTGAGGCGTATGACGCAATGAATTGCGAAAGCGTCATAAGACACAACTTTATAGCAGGTTCTGACGCATTTGATGTTTACTCTTCAGCCCACGCGCTGTGACTTATTTTCATTAGTGGGTGTCGCAATTCACTGCTCCGCACTTCTGTACTTCAAAACTCGATTTGTTTCGAATGCTTCTCGATCCATGGATGGGATAGCCAGAATTATCCAATTATCCTATATTATTAGATAATTATCCATTAATTATATGTACTTAGCGCCTGAATATTTGAAATGTTATCATAAATCATGCTCTAGATCGTAGCTTCCGTTAGCTACTAATAAGTTTTGTTAAATGGTTGTCTGAATTCGGAACTGAAGTTTTTCCGATCTACTGAAAGCTTTCGTGTATTTTTTTGGAGAATTGGAAGCAGTCGTACATTGCTTTAGAGAATTGGAAGCAGTCGTGTATTGCTTCAGAGAAGTAAAACCAATTATGTACTCCTCCAAAGTATGTAAAGCAGGCTTTTGTTGGTGCATCGTACCTAAAGCATTGTAAAAGAACATTTGACTAGTTGCCCAAATAATATTTATCCGTTGCGTTGTCGCAGGAGAGCAGCGCGGCGATCGCCAGCTGTGAGGGCAGCGAGGAGGAGAAGCTGAGCTCGTCCAGGCCTCAGAGCGGCGACGACGATGAGAATGACGGGCGCAGCAGCCCGGCTACCGACACGGACGGTCCTCCTAGGCCGGTATGTTGGATCGCTTCATTTGGGCAAACTCGAGAATCTATTGCTTATTCATTCAATGGTGTATGCATATGCAATTATTCGCTATTTAATGAATATTTATCAACTCGTTGGAAAGAATATATGCTCTCTAAATGATGAATCACTTACAAAATTGTTTCCCGGTTTCTGAAGTCGATGTACTGACGTAGTATTTTGTTGTTCAGGACTCGCTGAGCTCGCTGCTGGACCACAGCGAACCTGCCGTCACCAGCGATCGCGGCCGCTGGCAGTCTCCGCCTCTGGACGATCACCGCACCGCACTGCTCTACAGGTATTGCAGTGCTCTATATTAATAAATTATATCTGCATTTAACCTCAATACGAATCTGCTCACGTCCTGAGATTGATATTCGAGTTGTTCATCTTTAATTATATAGTATATTCGAAGAACTACGTCTATATCTGACTTGTTTTTGTTACTGAAAAGTAGAAACATTTATTTTTGTGTAACTTCGGGATACGTCCATGCCAGAGGCTTGATGATCACATAAGTTTTATAAGTCGAAATTTCCAAATTTAAATGAATTAAAGTTTCATGATTAAGAAATCACAATACACTAATTTTAAAAGAGCCTGGAATACTTGGCTCATTAGCGTTATACTATAGGTACTGAGAAACCATGATTCCCTCATGTTCTGTGATATTGTTAAGATTCGCTTAAGATATATTGCAGAAATTTTATGCATTCAAGGGGAAAATAAAATATAAGTTGAAGAATTTTCATGGATCTAAATATTTCATTTTCTGATCGCAGTCGCTACTCTGACGACGAAACAAATCTGACGACATCAAGCGGCCGTTCGTGGCACAAGTACGACCACCCACTGGCCAAGGACCCTCTGCCCACCACCACCAATTCCTCCTTCTCGAGCGCCTTCATCCAGGCGGTCGCTGGCAAATACTCGGGCGGGGGGCCCTCACACAGGAATATCTCGGCCATCAAGAAGCGCATCAAGCGCTTCGAGGAAGACTTCGAACACAAGTTCGGGTATAAGCCGTCGCACAGCGAGAAAATGAAGCACAAAGAGATTAAGAAGTATATGAGCGACCTCAACAAAGCAAGGAAGGAGCTTAAAAGTGAGTTCAATAAGTGACGTTAATGCTACACTTCGTTATTTATAGTGTCTATTCTAAACGCGAAAAAGTAAAATTTTATTGCCATTGACAATTACCAGATAAGTAATTTTGTTTTTAGGTCATCCAGTGTGTATTGCTAGAATTTCATGAGGCTTGTTTTAATTATTTGCCTGATATTTTTATAGAATCTTTCGATGAGATTAATAATACTCGTCTTTCATGCCGGATTATAATTGTATGGTTGTTAGTAAAAGATCTTATTGATGGCGGCGTGAGAGCTTCTTTTTGAGCTAACCATCCATATGTTACCACAGCCATGAAGGAAGGAGTCGCCGACCTCGTCTCCTCGTCTAAGGGCTTCTCGCTGTCACTGCTGCGTTGTCAGGAATCTACGTCACTAGGCCATTCGACGTTACCTGATGTCGTTGACGCCACCCCTGACCACGCAGCCACTCTCATCAAGGTCGAGGAACGACTAAGAGATGGACGACAGTCTGACGACAGACCCAGCGAACTTTCGAAGATGACGCTCGCGCAGATGCAGGACGAGAAGACGTGCCTGCAGAAGGCGCTTCTCTATTACGAGTCAATCCATGGGCGTCCGAATACGCGCGACACAAGGGAACTGGCCAGGCCGCTCTACGACCGCTACCGTCAGGTCAAGAGGAGCGTCAGCCGCGCGCAGCTCGTGAGTCTCTCTGTACCGCTGGCACTGACTCGGTGCTAATGGGCTTGGGATATCTTGTGTTTTCGTGGATAATTAATCAGATGTCATGTTCAGTTTACATGCTTTTAATACTTCACTTGGTATATGTAATGATAAATTTCACAATTGCAGTTCGAATTTTTACAATGTTACATCTCCTTCACTTCGTTCAAAATTGGTAGTCGTTATTAGTGCAGAAATTTTTTAATCCTGTCGAAAAATTGCAAAGCAACGTATATATCTGCTACTTGATTTTTTTTGCTAAAGCTAAGATGTGTTGATTGTTTGTGCAGCGCGCTAAGGAGAACGTCAACGAGCTGGCACCAATATTCGAGCACGTGGCCATGGACTTCACGCTGGCGTCACCGCAGCACCGGAGCAGCCTCACGCCCGACTCTCTGCCCACCGAGCAGCTGCTGCTATGCAAGGAGAAATTATTGCAGGAACAACGACGTCAGTCTGAATCTCTCCGATCGCCGGACTCCGATGATGAGGGACAGCAAGACTGTGGGCAAGAAGCTTCTCTTTCGGACAGCAGTGATGTAAGCAAGCAGTCTTCTACTCTCGGAAATCTTCATTCTCTCCCGCTACACGAACTGAAAGAGCGACGTAGAGAAGCTAAAGATCAGAAGAAGAAATTGAGAAAGTCGTTGCGACAATTTGAAGAGCGCTACGAGCGTGAACACGGCCACAAACTTGCTAAGGAAAATAGAGGCTCCATGGAGCAAAATTATCTTGATTACAAGCACGCAAAAGCAAAGCTACGTCTTCTAGAAGCTCTTATTGCAAAGAAAGCGCCTACGGATGACGAGTTTTAAGAAGCCATTTATTTTATTTTAATATATATTCGGCTTTGTTCTCAACTTCATAGTTATGAAGAAGTTTTTTATCTGTTTAGTTTTGTTTTTAGTGAGCGTATTTAACGAATTTGTTTCTCACATGTTACTGATGAGATATGGAAAAAAACGTGTTCTTTCATTTACACGTAGTCTCTACATGTGCGAGTAAAGACGCTTAATTTTTCTCAAGTGTGCCAAGCTAGGAACTTTTTTCTCTCATTTTTTAGTCATTGTTTTCGTAATTCAAGTATTTCTGAGTTATTTTGTACTTCTACTTGGTTGCCACACATTGCTGCGAATTGGCAATAACCCAAACTTATATGTAAAAATATTTTATATTTATATACTTATTTCGAAAGTATCAGGTTGTTTGAGAGAGTCATATTGGTCCCTTACTCGTTCATTTTTTTTACTATTTGTAGATCTTAAAACATCTGATATCTAGCATTATGCCCCAAGTGTATGTGTCGTGCCTGGAAAGTATTACCATTCTTGTGCTTAGTCTTAACCCTGTACCGCCCTGTCGGACGCATTTGTCCTCTGTATAATAACGCTATTCCTACCTGAATTGTATGTTAATTTGGGCGGTGAAGGGTTACAGAAGACGCGGCTCTGTTACAGGGCCTAGAGTTTGAAGGCGTTTAGCAAAGTTGTTGGGTCTGCTAGCTTTCTTTATCCTCATTAATGCAAAACAAATCTTTTGTTTGAATCGATTATTTCTAAGTTGCATTCTGTTCATAATTAAGATAAAATAGAGCTTTGTTTTCTGCGGATACTTAGCACGGGAACGGTTTTTACGGGAAGATTGTTAAGGAACATTTTTTTTCTAGGTGTTTTTTCTCTTTTTAGACGTGAGAGTAGAATCGGAAGTATGCTTCAAAATGTATTGGTAATCATGGCATACCCGCTTATTTTGTACTCATAGCGTTTAGTTGATTTTGTTCAGATTACTCTCGTTTTTTGTATAGTTGGTGTGGACATATGCTTCTTGTTCATTCCTTTAATTTTTCTTCTCGTTGTATAGTGTCATTGTTAGAGCATTTAAGGAGGTATATAACATCTTATATGAGCAAATTAACTAAACGTTCACTTGAACCGCTGCTTATCACTACTCGCACCAGCTGCTACGCTTCGTTGCATGCTTCGGTTGTCATCCCAAAGTGCAATTATAATTGTTCGAGGAGTTGCGTCTTGAGAGCGATCACTTCCACGAGATCACTTCTGTACCGTAACGTCTTGGTGCGCATACGAGCTAAATAGCACCACTTTCATGCAATGATATACTTGTTTTAGTTGTAAAGAACTTATAGCTTACAGATATCTAAGTATATTTTGAGAGTCTAAAATTATTAGAATTAGCACCGTATTTGTAGTTAGTCACTTGTTGCTACTGAGAAGTTTATGGGAATGGTTTGGAAGGTGGGGCAGAATTGACTTGCAAATATTTTTTAGCTGGATGCTATTTATATAGCTTTTGTTCCTGAGGATTTTTCTCCGGATATCTTTAAAAGTTTCACTGGATTGGCTTCATCGCATCAGGAACTACCTATGTAATGCAACCTTTGATATGCATCAGTTTTATTGGTGCGGTATTCTTTGCGGCGATGAATGCAAGTACTACCCACAAGTGTGCACTGCGCCCCCTCAGTGCACGGTTTTGCCCACGGCTCTACTACACAAAATCGTGGCGTGAACCTTTCTTTTGTTGTATAGTTTCCTGCTGTACCTTTGCCATGTGTCAAGGATTTAATGGAACCTTTTTCTAGCTCGTGGAATTAATTTTCAAGAAGAGAGTTTAAATAAATAAAAAATAGCTGTTTATTACCTCAAAAAAATTATTATTTTTCACTAACGTTGTCCGTTACTTTTATAAATTATTAGAAATTTTATGAGAGTGTGAAGAGCTGAGGCGTGTGTATGCGTTCTATGCACTTGCATAGGAAATGTGTGATGGTTGCTACCGTTCTTCGCAGATATGTGTACCCGTAGACCATCATTGTGATAGTTCAGTTATTTTATTCTTTACATTATTTCTTCATGCAAATTGAAGGAATGCTATCATTTTCTATTTTTCATTACCCTTGGATGGATGGTGAGCCAAAGTTTTACTATTTCCCAAAATTGTGATGTTTCATATTAGAGACCCGTCCGTACCTCGCGTTATTTTATCTAAATAGATGAATTACGCTGAATTACGAGTGGCATCTTAATCACATCTATGGAAAAATAACCTTTAATTGATGCTCTGTCTCCACGTCTGGAGGCGGGTTGCCTTGAGAGACCACTTTCCCGCGGTCAGCTGCCCTATCAGGCTGAAGTACTTTATTATGCTTTTACAGCTATTCAAATCTAAACGATGGACATTGCGATGAACGTTGTAAAATTTTTACCACGACTCGTAACAGGGGCAAATTTACAATACGATGCTCGTGAAGCAAAACAATTTTATTTTATTTTCCCGATGTGCATTCTTTCTCCGATTTATTCTCCTTTGATTGGTTTACCATTCATTCTTGAATCGAAATCCTGAAGATAGATACGACGAAATATCCCAAGTGACAATAATTGTAAACTTCGAAATTATGTAGATCAACGCAGGATTTCTCCCTCGCTTGCCTACATTGTAGGAATCAAGGCATGCAATGATTCAAGCGGGAAGTGCAAGGTTTTAAATTACTCGCTAAGTTGATGCCAAGTGGTTACAGTCCCCGCATCGGAGCTTTAGTGGCCAGCGGTCTGCCAAGAATATTGACACCGGCCGACGGCTGGCTATTCATCGGCCACCTAAAAACTGCCCGTTGCGTTAATAACAATATTCTTAGTGACCATTTCCCATTGAAAGAACAATATTCTTGAGGCAAGGGGCGTGTCCAGCTACGAATATTCCGCTGAATTGATTACGCAACCTAGGCTTCGTAACAGCCGAACCAACGCACGTCTCAGTTTTTACATCGATCTGTCTGTCTCATGGATTTAAAACTTCGCAACTCAGAGATGACCAAATAAGTTTACCTAACACTCGCAATCATGAGTATGGAAAGCGAGCTCATGATCATTGACGGACGTCTGGTAATTTTTATTACCACGTTTTTCTTAGCTCGCTTTCGTGTCCGTCTGTCTGTCTGTCTGTCTTTTTGTGATGATCAAATCTTGCAATCGATATTTCACCAACTTTCCCGCTAGCTAGCGCTCTGAAACTTGTAGGGAAGCTCAGCTCCCTATGACAATACAATAATCAATAATTTGTTGCACGTTTCCAGGCGTATTTATTCAATGAAAGGTCGACCGAGAAATTGTGGACGCTGCTGCCGCGGATGATGGCTGACCTTTGTGCAGTAGTTATAAACTCTAAAGGAACTCACAAGCAGGGGTTTGGAACCTTTAAGGGGACCGACCTAGCTCCGGAGAAACAGTGTTGTGTGCTTTTCGCTTTAATCATAAATCTGCCCGACATACGTTTTTTGGGGCGAGCCATAATTTATTTTCTACTTTTTAGTCCACAAGAAAAACGTGGCTTTTAAAAAGTTTTTTTAAAGTATTTTATTATAATTTTCTAGAATCCTTTGATCGTCGCCTGCTTCTTATGCTCGAAATGTCTGCGAAGAGGCTTAAATTAATTTTCCAATCGTGAAACGTTTAAAATATAGATGTTCACCCAGCCAAGGCACAAGCTTGTTTTTTCTGTCAATTTTTGCCATCGAAAGTGCCAAATCTGTATGAAGAAATCAATGAAATCAGCCACAGAGTTGCAATTCGTGTGTGTGAGCAGTTCCAAGTCCGTCTTTTTTTCACGAAAGAACGAAATTATTTATGATAAAAAGAGGAATTTATCGATATTCAGAAAGTAATGGAACTTTTTACTAAGCAATGTACGTCAAGATGAGGAAAGCTAGCGTAGTGTTGCAGGTGCAAGTTTCGCTATACCATCATCAACGTCTGACATGCGCCGCTTGTGTTGGAGGATCTGGTATCTAAATCTTTCCATATGCCCAAGAAAATATTCTGGGAAATACTTCTTGTCATTATTTTCTGTGAATTTTAGGACGTCGTCGCCCGTGGTCACGCTTATGCGAAGATTTCATCGTCACCGTCCCCAAGCCTTCAATAGGTAGATCGCTCTGCCACCGGACTGGAGGTAACGTTCAAGGCTACCGTACATCTGCTCTCATCTTCAATGTAGCAAGGGTGCACTCAACTCCCTCGGCAAGGCGTTGAATAGCCTCGGACCTGACAAGGAAAAATATCTCGTCCGAAGAGTTTGAACTCGGTCCGAAGCTCGGTTGTTCATTAGGGGTCTCCAGCACAGTCTCCCTCTGCTTTCATAGTAATATGTCACCATTATACTAAGTGTACTGTACGATATACCTCTCTCTTCTCATCGTCAGAGAGTGAGAGATGCTAGAGTGACCCGAACATCAACGCTCCGAGATATCGAATTAGTGGCTTCTCAATATTTGTTCCGGCCGATGCCTAGTAGCGGTGCTGCGACAAGACCTCTATACCAACTCCGTACTTCTTTGCTTTAAACTTCGTACCATAGCATTGTATATTATTCACTTGGGCCCAGTCGAAGCGTCATCCTTTAAACTCCCGCACGTCAGGTTGTCTATGATCTTCATGAGCTTTCTTTTATCGTCCCCAAATGACAGTATAGATTCATTTGTTAGTGCCAAATCAATGTCGGTGATGTGGATGAAAAATATATTAGCAGTCCAAGCCGTTGGAAATTTTTTTGATCTCTTGGGTTGTAATATTTGCTAGTACTTACTGTATTTTTCATTCTCTTCGAAAGGCTGTTAATAGTGTAGTTGGAATTGATATTTGGCTATTCAAACTACCTTAAATTTTGCTCCGGCAGGAGTGTGTGAAGCCATCCCTTGAGAATTTCTATTCTTTATTTTGAGTGACCACTCTTTGTATTTCGTTTTATTTATTTTAGTTGAAAGAACATGTTCGGTCTTTTTAGCGCATTTTCTCATTTATGGAAAAAATGCACTATTGTGCTCGCCATGTCCGTCTGTCTGTCTGTCCGTCCGTCCGTGACCTCAGGTCTTCATCGACGAGTGTCCGTCCGTCCGTGACCTCAGGTCTTCATCGACGAGAAAATGCGCTCTCTGTCACTCACTACAGTGAGTACTGAGTTATATTTTTTAAATCAGATGAGGGCCGACTCCCGTGTTAATTTTGGGCTTTGCCTTTTCTGTGACGCGCTCACCTGAATTTTTGCGCTTTGGTATCTTACTTATAAATTAATTATTTCAGAGTTCGAGGCTCACAGCACTTCACAACCATCTTAGAGCAAAGTCGAAATCAAATTCAAACAATAATTAACTAAATGTTCTAGTGCACGAGTTAATTCGAGTGAAATTTGAGTGCTTGGTATTCATGTTTTTTACCATTATTCACGCTCGGGTAAAAAACATTTTTGAATTTATCGCTTTTTCCAGAAACACGTGCCCTTGCTCAACGCACATCTTGAGTCGAAGTTAAGTAAATATGGCTGGGTCACGCACGGCGTTGATCCTTATAACCTCTGGTGGCACGCATACCATCGAAGCCGCAAATGCGTTTCAGGTGATATGCGAGTGCAGTATTGATCGACTCGCTTGATTTGTTTCATGCTTTATTTGTTATCAGTTTATTATAACTTCGTGTAACTATTAATGCCGAACATACAATATTCTGCAAACGATTTGCAATAGTTCCCACACACCATCCACCTCGTTTCAGCGCCCAAAAAAAAATTAAGTACAGAAAAATTAAAATATTACACACATCGGAATTGACGGCTCATATGTAGAATTAGTAGCTCATGTTGGCACGTGGCGACTGTACAGACAGTATACATGTGAATGCAACTGGTCGCTGATCACAAAAAGTTTGGGATTCTCTGAGGTAAGAAAGCGAGCGTTGTGGCTCGGCGCGGTGAGGTTAGGTAAATAGAGTCGTGCGTGGTCATTGAGCGAGACAATTTCCAGGGATGATGCTAAGCATTGGAAGTTATTAAATTAGCTTCATTCGTTTTATCGATAATTTAATTTAGATTCAATGCATTTTTTTATTTGAAGGCCTGAAATTACCCAGTCCCTTAGGTATTGTGTCCGTACTCCGCCGTAGTGTTTCTGTATTATCATCACAAGGAGTCTTACGTGACGAAGTAATAAATAATCAGAAAATCGTTTAATCCACGAGTTAAATTGCGTGTAATATGAAGCGTTGAAAGAATATCAGCTTCACCAGCATCCACACTAACACTGTATGTTCTCCCACTAAACATTTACCGCAAGCATTAGTTCTACTCAGTGGTTTTTAGTTGTGAATACCGACCGTGACCCGAAAGATGCCCCAAACTCGCTACCTTCGAGAGGTCAAACTAGTCGTTTGTGATAGCCTCTCCTGGTTCTTAAAATACCAGTAAATATATACGCCTTAGATGAGCTTAGTATCATTTGGCCTACAAGCGTCACCGGTATTTTATAAATTTACATGCCTGCACGAAAAAAATCATGAATTGGAAAGTTCTTGTCGAATTTTTGTCAGCTTGAGAGTTCGACTGCTCAATTAAATTCGTGGGTTAACTCTAAATTTCATCGAGCTGATTCACTGCTAGACTTGCATCTATTCTGATGCGTGATCAAGAAAAGTTTTTAAATAATCGTTTCATGGTGATCATCGAAACCGGAAGACGTAAAATACGACCGGACCGATTGTACCATCCGTATATAAGGTGAATATTGTTATTTCATGCTTTGGAACTAATTTTCACAATGCCCCAATATTCGGGGCTCAAATTATGTATGGAGCTGGTAGAGCGGCCTAGAAA